GTCTACTATAGCTATAACTTTTTTTTCAATAAGTTAACTCTTGCAATGTCATTTTTATATCAAATTTAACAAACACTTTTTTATCGAAATGATTGTAAAAATATCAAACTATGCTCTCAAAACTTTAAAAAAATTCCAGAATTCTATAATTCATAATTATTCTACTTGTTTTCATCTCAACTGATAAATTTTATTTTCAACGAACTTGCATTTGATATAAAATTTATTGTTAATTCTAACGGGTGTGTCAGATTAAATGGATCTCTCAGTATTTTGACTATAACTTTTTTTCTTTTTGGTATTTAGAGCTAATTATTTTTTTCAAAAGATGCGCCGTGAAATTCTCTGTAAAATCATAATCAAACTTATTTGTGTAGAAAGTTAAAGAAAAAAAATTAAACGAAGATTATCCGACACATTAAAAGTACCCCACTTTCAAAGCTAACCGGTGTTTGTATCTTTTTTTTTTATCGTTAAGTACGTCTATTTTAAAAATAAAGTATACCATAAGACGCAGCGTAAAAAGTTCTATAAGTTACATTGAAAACCTTATTTTATACATCCACTCTTTGTTTTCAAAATGGACAAAATTCTGTCCAACCAATTTTCGACGCTGCGAACAAGATCAGTTTTTGCTACACCACGAATTCATTTTTTCTTATTTCATCTTTTTATCGCCTAATATGTTGTATTAAAAGAAAAGAAAATATACTATAAGATGGAGCGTGAAAAGCTCTACAATCTACAACGAACAGTTTACTTTATATATATGCATCTTTTGTTCTTATAATAAGCAAAGCTCTGTGCGACCAAAAATGATCTTGTTTGCAGCGTCGAAAATTAGTCGTATAGAATTTTGTCCATTTTGAAAACAAAGAGTGCTTGTATAAAATAAGGTTTTTAATGTAACTTGTAGAGCTTTTCACGTTGCACCTTATGGTATACGTTACTTTTAAAATAATGTGCTTGGCGATAGAAAAAAGAGACACAAACATCGGACACTTATGAGACATTCGTCAGCTTTGAAACTTGGGTACTTTTAATGTGTCGGATAATCTTCGTTTAATTTTTTTCTTTAACTTTCTACACAAATAAGTTTGATTATGATTTTACAGAGAATTTCACGGCGCATCTTTTGAAAAAACAATTAGCTCTAAAGACCAAAAAGAAAAAAAGTTATAGTCAAAATACTGAGAGATTCATTTAATCTGACTCACCCGTTATTTGAGATCACACTGCTGTTTACACGAAAAAAACATTTTTACATATTCTGTACATTAAAATGGGTTGAAAGTAGACGCTCAGATTCTATTTTGATAACATGATTTTCCTTTTTTTTTCATTTACTTTTTATATGTGGATGAATTAATTTTCAAAGCAAAGTTTATTGCATGTATCATTCTCCTTTTGAAAACAGGAGTTTTAGTTTTCTGCTTCAATTTTTCTTCTTTTCTTTTTTCGTTTCATTGAAAATTGAGAAAGCTGAAAAACTTAATGTTCGTTTCAATTTTTACATGCTTAAAAATAAAACTAAATCGAGGAATTTATTCTCATACAGATAAACAATAAATATATATATATACCACTTACTATTATTGTTCTGTTTTTTTTTTTCATATTCATATTCAGCAAATATTTATTTTCCTCTGCCTGAGGAGGCGTGGTAAAGTTTCAGCAATTTCACTGGCATTTTTCCAACAAGAATCTAATGAATAATAATAGTATCTATACAAAATACAACTTAGAAATGAAAAATCATCGATGAGCTATGTGTTTGTTTGGACAGGTAAAAATCCAATTTATACCATCATCATAGATGGATTGTAATATACATTATGATAATGTTGATTCATTCATTGATGAGTGAGGTATTTACTGGATTTTTTTATTGAAAATGCAATCTTTCTTACTTTTTTATCAAGTATGATTTAGTTTTGAAAATCAAAAATGCTGAATACAATCAGTCAAATAATAATTTTTAATCAAGTTTATGATTTTTACTAGCTGGATTCAATCAATTAACACAACAAGTAATCGGTACAGCGTGAATCTACATTTTTTTTTCTTTGCACTGTTGTAAATAAATTACTAGAGATGGATATGAAAAATTATTAACTCATATCCTCTTGTGACAGATTCCAACATGAAACAATCAATAAAACAAACGCAATACAAAACAGAAGCGAAGCTCGAAAGAAGAAAAAATATATCTAATAAGAACAGCAAACGGGTGCGCATAAAGAAAAAATCAAAACGACGGCACGCTTCTTACATACTGATAATAACAAACTGATAGATAAACGATAGAAAAAAATCCACAATGCTAAAGAATGGAAAGAGAAACAACACCATATATATATACAAATATATGAGGCCGTATAGAGGTCGAGACGACATCAAGGACATTTATCTATGTATCTCGAAAGACATAAACCAAAATAGAAAATGATTCATCAATATACAGCGCATGGTCACGCGAATCAAGAAATTAATATTAAAAAAAACAATTTCTTCCTCCTTGAAGATTTCAGTTTATTACTTGTCAAAATACTTAATCTTTCTTCGTTCAAAATGATATATCAGTAATAAATGTAAACTTATTTGCTAAGGTATGAGGTTTATAAAATGTTATTGAACATTGTCAAAATAAATTCGTAATAGATTTCCTTTAATTGCTTTTATCGTACACTAGTTTTGTTTTTGAATTTTTACATATGTGAATATTGTGCAATAGCACACACATAATAACAAATCTACAATCATATATTATTTGGACAACTACGCACATTTTTTTTCTTTCTTATCATAAAGAAAGAAGAGATAGAGAAAGAGGCAAGGCAAAAAAGGTATGATTTAGTACATATTAATCATACCAAAGCGAAATGCTATGATGTAATTTCATGGCTACATATTAAAAGAGAGGCTCGATTATTTATTCATGGTAATTTTTAGGCCTGTCATATACTTGTTAATATGAAATAGGTATCGATAATCGTAAGTTTAATTTACAATAGCTTCAAATCAGATCGAAAAAGTAATTCAAATTGCTTGCATTTTTATTTATTATGTTTAAATTAAATTTAACTGTTTTATTTCTTCATGATACTTTATAGAATAAATATTTCGTAATTTTAACATCACATGTATCCATAAATAATGTGTAATATATTGTTTCGATTCTATCAGCATGTCCTGATCTACTGAAACATCTTATCTTTCATCGAAATGGATTTTTCAAAAAAGGTTATAAATCAGCATTTACTATAGATAGAGCCTCATAACTTTCATTTTGTAGCCTATAACTTTTTTTTGTGAAGTAATTAATTTTAAGGAATGCATAGTATGTGTTCTTTATCAAATATTACTACGGACTGTCAATGAGAAAATATTCATTGTATACCCACATTTTTTTTTTTTCTAGTTGACAACAAACCAAGTTTTCAGACTTGGGGACTCTCTTAAGTAGCATGAAAAATATTTTTCATCCTTCTTACATTCAAAACCGATAAGAATCGCTAAAAAACTAAGTGCACTAATCACGAAAAATAATATTTCTTAAAAAGTTTTTGAGTAATGAGAAAGCTCTGTAAGAATTTTTTGAAAATTCTAAAATTCACTTTTACATAACAGTCTATCAGAACTGATACTACATTCGATGAAAATAGATTCGTTCGATGTAGAATATTTTTTCCTACATTGGAATCTATAATATCCTTCGTGACACATGGTTGTTTTCCTATCAAAGTAGGTTAAATAACGCCCCGATTATGTGTTCTTGTTTGCAGTAATGTCTTTTACGTTGTCAGAAAACATATAATTAAGACAGATACATCTATGGTGTTTACTTATTTATCATGCAATCTTGTGCAGTCTATTACGTGAAATTATTTTCAATCTCTGATTCGACGTCTGAAATATGGCTTCTGCAAGAATAAAAAAAAAAAAAAGGAAGATTAATAAAAAGTTATTTTATTAATCTGGGCAGCATTTAGCTCACTTTGATAGGAAAATAACTACATGTCACACAGACTATCATAGATTCTGATGTAGGAAGAAAAAAAACTCTGCATCGAATAAACTTATTTCACTGAATGTAATATTGTTTTCGATTGACTGTGAGGTAAAAAGTAAATTCTAGAACTTTTGAAAGATTTTTTAAATCTGTCTTTATTACTTGAATAATTGCAAAAGCAAGTATCATATATTGTGATCAGCGTATTTATTTTTAGTGATGATTATGGAGTTCGAATAAAAGAAAGACAAAAAAAATTTTCTCACGATGCTTGAGGGGGTCTTCAGATGTGAAAGATTGACTTGTTCTTGAGTACAAAATAAATTTGTGAATACAAAATAAATACTTTCTCACGCACAATCCCTGCTGACATTCGATAAAGAAAATATCCCATGATTTTCTTTAAAGTATCTATTTCGCCAAGAAATATCACAAACTATAGAATAAAAGTCTAAAGCTTCTATCTATTGCAAACATTAGGTTTGAAAAGTCTATTTTGATGAGAAATGAGATTCAAATTAGGATTTGTTGGTTGAATCGAAACAATATATTACATAAGATTTATGGATACGGATGATGTTAAAATTACGAAATATTTATTGCATAAAGTATTATGAAGACAGAATCATTGAATTCAATTTAAATTTAAATTAATGATAATTTAATTTACTCACATATTAATTCGAAAGTAACTATAGATTGACACTGCTAATAATGTTTTGTGTTATAGAGAGAGAAGAACGATTATTATTTGTTCTTGTACGCATATTTGAAAATGATCAACGATAATTTTCAAATAACCTGAATGAACTCGAGGAGAAAGAAATGTCCGTCCAGTTTAATATATTGAATGACAAATTCAAACGTTTTTCTCTAAACTTACGATTTGCTTTTTTCTTCTTTTCTTTCTCCATTCTTCCTTTCATGTGATGTCATTTTATTTATTTATTTTTTCTTTTATTGTTTTGAGGACATTCATATGTAAATTATGTCAAATAGTAGTAATACAAACGATCAAGCCAGCTTTATTCGAGCTGTTGAAGAAGCATTTTTTTTACTTGATCGTGATCAAGATCGATCTGTTGGTACAGATGACTTTTGTGCTATTGCTAAATCTGTTGGTATAAACTTAGATTCTGACGAAGCATTATTACTTCTTCGTTCAGCTCTGCATGAACAAACAGATGATCCGACATGTGAAGCAAAATTAACAGTCGATCAATATTCAACATTCATGCTTCGTCATGTTGGTCCATCAGAATTAAATGATGAATTACGTCGAACATTTGATGCTTTAGATCAAGATCATGATGGAAAAATATCTCGACAAGATATGGATCGACTTCGTCATGAAACTAATTTTTTTGATAAACTTGACAATGATCAATATGAATTAATTGTTCAAGAATTATTAGTTCATGGAAATAATGGAATGAATTTTGATCAATTTGTACGCTTGATGATGCAATCATAGTGTAAAAGAATTTCTTTAATACTAAATTAAAAAAATATTCTCTTTTTAATAAAGTTTCTTTGGCTATTTTTATTACAAATTTTTTCAATTTTTATTCAGACACACTTCTCTTGAGGTTAGAAAGTTCTGTAATAGTTTAGCTCGAGTCCATATTTTGATCCGGATACAAACTACTCCGTCAATTCAGACATTGGCTATGAAAACAAAATTGTCGCATCAGAACCACCTATGGTTTCCTGTTCATCCCAATAACAGTTTGATTATATCTTAATTCAGAGTCGTGGCTAGTAACGGTAGTCGATCAGTCCGATCCGAATCGATACAAGTTTTTTTACCAACCAGTATACTGGTCGGTGTGGAGACAACTTCTTCTTTACCTTCCGTTCTGGATTTTTGTTTAGTTGTTGCATATTTCTTTTTCGAAAAAAATAAACATAAAAGTGATTTTTTTTTTTCGTAAATCAAAAACTTTTGTATTACTAATATCAAAGATTATATCGGTGAGGAAATACATATTAGAATATTCTATTAAGTCAAAACTCGTCATAGTATCCTTATTATATTTTATCAGCTCACTTTAGTCTGATATCATATTATTAAAACAAAATCGAATAGTTGTTTAGAATTGTAGTTTTTCATAGTTTTGTATTGTAATTTCTACTATTTATAGCATATGCATATCTCACACACATAAGTGATAAGAAAGCGAATATAGGGTGTAAGATAGGTTTAGTTTAAAGCTAATAAAATAGTATCGATGTCTGAAGACTAGTTAATCAAAATACATGATCAATATAAAATTTATAGTCCTATGAAGTTTTCTCTTTATCAATAGATGCCAAGAAAGAGAAAACATATCAAAATAAATAGTACAAAGCATTATAGTCGCGAAATAGTGCTATTTTACTGTTACTGCAGTGATTAGAAGGAAAATATGACTAATCCAGGGGCGAAATTGACTATTATGGGGTCAGAAAACAGAAGAATGACTCTTCCCTATATACCGACCGGTTCGGTCAAGTCTGATCAGCTAAACAGGCGGTGATTCCAGTAAGGAACTATTCTTACCGGTTCTAGTCCTATCTTAATCTATTGGCGTACTTGAGAATAACTAACATAATCACAAGGGAGGATTTTTCTTGTTTTTCTGATATTCATGATGATAAATTTTATGAAGAAATGAACTATTACATGAGAAATTAATTTAGTTATTGAAAANAGATTACTTTTAAAAGACTAGTTTTAATTGCAGCTTGAATGAATGCAGCTATCATAGAGCATTTTCATAAAGCTGAAAATAGATTTTTTATTATGCCCAGGAATTAAAGTTTATTGCCCCACCTATATTTGGGATGCTGGCCCGCCACTGCTCCACACCATATCGATTAATACAATGATCATCTTACTCGACCTTTTAGATGGATGAGAATTATAAATCAGCGCAAACAACTGTATAAAACTGATAAAATGCTTGCATAATAAAACCTCTTGTTTCTTATCTACGGCAAAGTATATAAATCATTTTCTTTCGAGGAAAAAAGTAAAATTCGAGACGGATAATCCATTTCGAGGTCGAATCTCTAAATTAGTTGCTCTCCAAAGATGAATACTAATCTTAAAATTAAGATTAACGAACAGTTTTATTAGGTTATACATTGCACACGCATAAATCAATATTCTTTTCATTGAAAAAAAAAACAGCAAAACAATGATAATGGATTTGAGTGTAAGTAGGTGAGAGTGACAAGCACATGCACAATCATCCACCAAACTCTAAAGGGACTCAAAGGACTAATGATTTGAAAAAAATGAAAGTCATAGTAACTTAAAACGCATAAGAGTAAAATGGAATAAATTCAATTTTTCGTGAACTTCTCACTACAATTCCATAACAAATTTATCTGTTACTATCGACAATAACACTTTTGTTACATGAGAAAAGAAGAGTTATTATCTCAATGTCTGCATAATAAAAATGTGAAACACGATGAAACTGATGAAGTTCTATAAGAGAGAACTCAATAACGAAGGTTTCAATTTATGAATTAATACCTACTATTTATATATGTTAATGATGAAAGATCATAATCATTATATATTATAGTTAGTGTAAAAGTAGAATAAAGAACAGCTATCCTAAATTTAACGATGTCTCATATTAATCCCGCAGCAAACTTCAATCTCGAGAGTATGCCTATCATTGTCAATGAGAATAGACTAGGAATACTCAAGTATATGTCATGGTCTTTGATAAAAAAAAAAGCCGGTACTAAGGTGTCTGTCACGTATGGAAGAACAAGGAAATTCAACCGTTACACATCAATACTCCTTTTAAATTTTGTTTCACAATGACTTACTTAGTTTGTCATGTTCTTGTTGTATTTTTTCCCAATTTTCTCGATTTCGTTTACATCCTTCATAAAGTGGACCTAAACCAGATTCAACATCGGCTAACAACTAATCAAAAAATTTGAATAATGTATAAAAAAAAGAAAACTTTTTTCTTTTAATAAAATTTCAATTTTACTTTATAAACTGGTAGACATATTGAATCAATGAAACCAACTAAAAATAAAATGTTTCGAAATTCTAAATTTCATAAAGATAATATAACAGACCTTGCATTTTAGGTAATTCATCTTTTTTGTCTCGATCCATCATAGGCTTAAATAGAAAAATTAATTAAATAAAAAATCAAATGTAAAAGAAATATAAAAAATACATACAATTGGTTCTACATGTAATTGATTTTTTTCAATATCTCCTTGTTGAAAAAATTCATTTGCAACAAGTTTAGCAATAACTTGTTGCATCTCCCAGGGTTTACAAATAGCTGCAACATCACATGCTGTCATCATCATTCCTCTAAATAGATACAAATGAATTTTCTTTTATTAATTTTGTTTTTCCTACCGAAGTAAATCTTTTCTTCCTGGATCAATCCAATTTTCTTGACGACTTTCAACTAATTTTTGAAAATCACCTCGTTTTCTAAAAACAAAAATATTTTTTAAATAACGAAAATAAAAAACATTCATATCTTTTACCGAAAATAAACAGCTAAATCTGTTGCTAATATAGCTGATTCAATATAATGAACAACAAGTTTATAATCATCTGGTGATAATGTTTGTAAAATATTATTTCCTTTCGTTTGTAATATCATAATACATTGATCGAAATGATGATGTTCAAGTGTTGATGTTGAATATAATTTTGCAAGCGGTGCATCAACTTTAGCTTGAAATGCATTATTTGTTCCACGATGATCAAGATCATGACTTAAACATGCGATTAATAATCCAATACGTTCTAAGTCACTCATACAAGCATTCATACCACCGCTCTAAATAATAATAATAATAATAATAATAGTAGAATTCATTATAATAAAAAAAGTCATCATGATACCGTCGATGAGAAGTACTCATTGCCTTTTAAACAAGACCATTCATTGCTTATAATAATTCGATGAACTCTTCCGTCATTTTAACTATTTTCTTTCTGTTTTTGAATATCTTGGAACTCAATTGCAAAGTTAATAGTGAATGTAAAAAAAAAGAAACTTCATATCCGATGAAAAAGAAAAACGGCTCTTTAAATAGAACTAAAGACGAAAGAAAAAAGACTCTGACGACTATTTCCGGTGACGATTCCATTCAAAGTCAAAAATCTTATTCAAACATCAAAGAAAAATACATTTCTCTTCTTACTGTTAACATGGAAAACATTGTTTGAGCAACATTAAACGCATGTCTCCAATTATGATATATCACGGATCGATAATTTTTCTTTACACTTAACATCCATCGAAACATGACATCATGTGGAACATGATATATTTTTAATAAATCTAATTCAATAAACATTCGTATGCTTGCTAAAATTGTTTCATCATCGGTTAAAATCATATCATTAAATTCCCATGAATATAAACGAAGTTGATTAGCTTCAGGAATTGAAATATGTCCCATACGTTGAACATCTTCTTCTGATGCCACAGCATGATATGATAATACTTCAAACGCAACGTTCTGTTTAGCTGTTAAACGTACAACATTTTCATATTGTCGTGTATTATGTATGCCCAAGCCACAGAATACCGAAAAAGCCTAAACAATATATTTTCTTTTAAATTTTATTATCTATGATTAAACATGCAATCAACATTGTGGGTTGTTTTTTGTCTAGACGTAAATAAATCTTATTATCTACCTGCAGAGGGGCAAAAATTTTCCACAAAATTAAACTTGACATGAGAAGGTTCTATTACAAGAGAGACCAACAGAAAACTTTGGATGCTAACATTTAATTACACATTGAAACAATCAAAATACTCAAACTTATTAGTTTGAATTTGAACTTTTAGTTTTGCTTTTTGTCCATTTTTTATTTAAATTATTCAAATTAAATTACGCTCTATTCAAAAGTCGATCTTCATCTATATTTATTGTATTATCAAGAAGTTTCATTCTTGTTTGCTTATCTATAGTTGAAGATAACTTACTTCAATAATAGCAACATCATCTTCAGTAAAAGCTCGTCCGTGTAATTTATTCATAACTTGTGAAACACCAATAACATGACCATCATCATCCATAATTGGTACACATAAAAGATTTTTCAATTCAAATTTATCATCATCATTTGATATTAACTAAAAAACAAGACTTATTTTAAAGTAACTTTTAAATTAATTATTAATATACTAAATGTGATAATGCTTGATCATTGGATATTTCATTCATATTTACAATTTTCATTGTTGTTGCAACATGATAAGCAATTTTTGCATAACGAGAATTTTCAAGGAAATCATTTCTAATAAAGAAAAACAAAATACGAATATTTATATTAATATCACAAAAAAAAAAAAAAGAAATTTATCTTTACGTACGTTGTTACTTTAAATTCTTCACCATAAATCATATCGAATCCTTTTGAAAAACGAATATCCTAAATAATAGATTAAAATTTTGTATGGGAAGAAATTTGTTTTGTTTTTTAAATAAAATATACTTCAGGTTTATTTGATAATGAAATCGATCGATCTACTATATAAACACAACATCGAGCACATTGCATAAGACCTTGAGATTCAGTAGTAATTTTATTTACTAAACGTTCAAGATCATCTTGTTCACGAAATAAATTTCGAGCCAAATTGAGAAGAAGCTAAATTTTAAAAAAATAATTTATAATAATAATCGATGAGATACAACATTTTCTTTTTTTGATAACATTTATTAAAAAAAGAAAATAAACTCTGACCTTAAGTCTATTTAAAAGTGAAAAATTCTCTTTATTCGATTTGCTTTCATTTTTGGATGACATATTTTTTGATTGTATATGCTCATCATCATAAGTTTCCTTGTCTTTCGATTGTAAAGAAGAAGATGATGATGATGATTGAGCGATTGTTCGATCTACCACTTCTGGTCGGCCAAATGACATTAGACGACAGTGTTGTCTTTCGTCTTCGAGAGTTTTTTTGGATTTAACCAAACTTTGTCATTGTTCCGTGAAAATTTAATATATCAGATTCTAAGTTGATTAGCTTCTGCGCACATGATAAACGCAAAGAATCAAAAATCAAGGATAAGAAGGGGAAAAAAGAAACAAAATTTTGTGCTGCTTATACACTAGCGCAGAACAAGAATACTCAGCTTGCTCTTTCTTTTTTCTTCTTCTTCTTCTTTTCTTCTCTATTCTCAGTTCTTTTATGTTGTCAAAACGACGCTAGAATTCTAAAAGTGTGAACAAACGAATATTATATTTTAATTTACTTGATTCTTTTTAAATTCTTGAATTGATAATTCAAATAATTGAGCATTTGACAATCCAAGTCCACAAAATGTTAAATAATTACGAAAGACCTACAAAATAACCAATTGATTGATAAGAACAAAAAGAAAAAAAAAAAAGTAAATAAATCAAATAAAATTTACATTTATATCTTTATCGGTAAATTCATGTGTACCAGTTTTTTTATTAATTATTTGTGCAATGCCGATAACAATATTATCACGATTTAAAATAGGCATACAACATATTGAATGTGTTCTATAGCCAGTTTTATTATCAACTTCTTTATTAAATCTTGGATCCTATTAAAAGAATAAGAAAAGAAAAAAAATGAAAGGAATAGAAAAAATTCTTCTTAAAATGCCTTTGTCAATACATCAATAGAGAAGCGTAACTACGCGTCATCGTTTAGAAGTGTTGTGCAGTGATTTCAAACATATTCCAATTTATTTTTTAAAAAGAACAAATCAGAAAAAAAAGAAAAAGTAAAATCAAATCAGACACTTTGATAAACTCAATCATATGAAGATGGTAAAACATAAATCTCATAAAAATGCTGAACGATATATGATGGAATATAGAATGCGTACATCTTATGCAATACCTACACAAATCAATCAATTTAATTCCGACAAACAAAATACTCGTTCTCCACGACTAAATGCTGCCCATGACCGAAGCCATGCAAAACATAGTTCAACACAAGCATTTTATCATTCAGAAGGACGTATTGATAAAAATAAACGAGCGAAAAAGCCTACTCAACAACAACAACAACAACAACAACAACAACAACAACAAATTCAACCTCAAACGACTAATACTAATCAGGGAAAGGTACCAATAACAACGAAAAAAAGTTCTTGTTGCACAATACTATAAATTAAATTATTAATAAAATATTTCTTATTGAAAAAGCAAACAATAAAAAACGAAATTTTCTTTTTTTTTGATATTGAAAAAACAAAGAAATTGATAGCAAATGACTTTAATGTCAATCATAACTTTGAAAACAATTGAATCATTGGTTTTCTTTCATTTCACAGTCAATTATTTCTGTATTATTTTTAAAAAAAAGTATTTTTTTTTCGCTATTTTTAAAAATAAATAGAACAATATTTGCAAAAATAAGTTTTGCTACCGAAATAGAAATTTATTCGTATTAATCATGATTTTTTGCATTAGTTTGTCAAGATGAAATATGTGTTTGCATAGGTAACTTTTGAGACGAAAAATCGAGTGTATAAAAACTAGAAACTTGATGCTTTTAGGTGAAATGTGTTCAAGAAAAATAATGTTATAAACCACTGTAAAGTGTATTAACGACTGTCTATGGCACTATTTGTGCATGTTACGATCATCTTGGATATAAATTTCTTAAAATTCAGTTCCTGCCTATCATATTACAAAATTCAAATGAGTTCTGTACGACATCATGTGGATTACGTGTAAGGTACGATATTTTAAATAACGCAAGGTATTCTGGAAAAAAGAACTGATTGGGTTGAATACGTGTTTGGTGAGAACGGCTGTGCCCAAGGTACTCATTCCGACTGCTCGGAATGACTTCCTACGCGATCTGAAATCGCTATAAAAACGTCATATTACTGCATTAAATGTCACTATATTTCATCATTCGATTTTACGAGGCATTTTTCTACTATCAAACTATCATCACTTGTACCACTATTTTTTTTTCCTGTGTAGAATTACAAAAAATTATTATCTATTTAATAACGTCAACTTTCAGCGTTTTATATGGTTTACAATATTGTTTTCGATTAAGAACTGCCTTGAAATATTTGTTTACTGCCCAAACTCAGATTATAAACAAACCATATTTTGAAATAAAGCTATTTTAACAACTAAGACAAATATATTCCAGTGGTATAAGCATTAAAAATTCTTATTAATTGAGTACGTCTTACTAGAAATCCGTCTAAATGTTTATTATCTATCAGTCATCAATCAGTTAAGACTGTAAATTTATAACTATATAACATGGTTTGATCTTATTTTTAACTATATAGTTTATAAATATTCAGTGTAATTTTGAAGGTCGAATTGATATGTCAACAAAGAATATACTTCAAACAATAATAAGAAAGTAACAGAGATGGACAAGTCTACAATTTTCGACACAAGTCAAAATTTGACTCGACTTGACTATCTAGGATAGTTTGTCAAAGTATTTAAGCAATTTTATTCTTGTAATACAAACAAATCAATGTATTATGGAAAAAATTGTATCGGAAAATCAGATGATCAATGAGATTTATTCAAAAAAAAAATTCGTAACGCATTGCAGGAATGACTCAAGGCAGCCAACAATTGAGGGGGTGTAAAGACTTTTCTTCTAAGAGAACACACAAATAATTATTGCCTTTATTTGGAAAAAAACGTTTTCTTGATTGAGAGAAGGAGGCGGTACTATATTTCGGACACCTGCCGCTCGAGCCATCTCTAACACATTCCAAACTCTTCATTTCCTTTCAACAGCAATTTACTCTATGAAAGTATTTTCTATTTTTATATTGTTATTTTTGTATTACACTTTAAATTTGAAGCCAACATTGAAATGTGTGGACTACCTACAGGTGCATAGGTTTCTTTTGTATTTGTTCTCTATAATTAGTTATACAAAAACTTTTCTACAAGAGAAGCATCTCATGATATTTACTACCATACGATTCATTACAGAGCAAAATATTTAAACGTTGTACAATTTTTTTTATCGAATATGAAAGTTAAAAATAAAGTGTATACCACAGTCCTAATCCAGTTTAGATGTCTTTGAAAAATAATTCTGATTGCTACAATAACTATCATAAAGTAATTTTTCTGAAGGTAAAAGTGAGGAAATTTCTCAACAATAAAAGAAAATCTTTCCCACATTTTATGTAAATTATTAAATAAATTGATATTTCTTTTTTTTCTGTTTAAGTCATTCCTTCCTCAAAACAAGTCAATTTTTGTTTTGAAAAATCGAAATCGAGATAAACGCCTGAAAAGATAGCCTGATATATGATCTTTCATAAACAACATTATTTTTTTTATTTGACACCCTGTTTTTTGGCCCAAATTTTTTGATAATTTCCGTAAATATGTTTTTTTTTTAGAAAAGCGACAAACGTCTTTCGCCTTTTCTCTGTTTATGTTTATTTTCTAATCGCAAAAACCTAGAATCTCCTGTGGGGCTTCATTCTATGTATTTAATTCTTTTTTTTTTTGTTTAAAAGAACATGTCAAGATTCAGGGCATGACAAAGTTCTGGTTTTGAATTAAGCTTTGCTACTGTTGTGTAAAAGAACAGTTTAATAATTGGAGCGCTATTTTTGAGAACTATTTGACACATTGAATTTTTCATTTCTACTTTTCACTTTAAAGGTAAGACAAAAAACGACTTCGTTTTGCACTGCATCCTGATATGCTCTTTCAAACAAAAAAAAAAGAAACATGCAGAATGAAAGTTCACAGAGAAGTTCAGGTTGCCAAATGAGCTATTGTTGGCTCTTATTTATAGAATATCTTCCAAAAACATCATGGTATAGAGCTAAAAATTTTACCATGACCTCTTCACTGCAGTTTCGACATATTCTGAAAATGGTTATATAGTCCTAATGGTAGAATGAATAATTCTATTAGTTTGTCAACATATATGGGCGACGAAATAATATTAGCTTAGACTAAAACATCTCTATTGATATTGTGTTGTCAAGAAAATAACAAAAACAATATTTTTTACACACGATTACACTGATTATAAAATGCAATTGTGTTTTCTGAAATATTTTAAGTAACTAAGTTTCTCAATCGATATTTTTGCTCGAAATTAAATATAAATGTAATATCAATGTAAGAATTTTAATTTTTCTCTACTTGAATATTCCATGCAATAAAAATAAATGTTGACAGTCATATTACTGAAAATGAAGAGTCATATCAAGTGTATCAACATAATTCATTTACAATACTTTGTAAAAATGATTAGAAAAGAGTCTCAGTACTGCAAAACAGTTTTAACTTAATATAAAAGCTGTTAGCGCATACCCTGGGGGATTAATATGTGAAACATGATGTAGCTGCTCTTGCTAATCACAGGGAGATTGTTTCATTCTATCTATTTTTGGACATATTTCTTCATCATCTTTTTACTGAATCGCCAAAACTATAAAAAGGAAGCAGTTCATTAATTATAACATGCTGTTATTTTTCTGCAGTCTTTGATTGTATATCAACAACGTTCATAACATCTTGAAAGAGAGGGAGGGGCAGTTCAAATTTTTACCCCTATACTTCAACACTGATTTTAGATCGTGTCTTACAAAATGTCACTTATTAAAATAGAAAGATTATTATTACCTCATAAGCATCACGAATATTAATGTATTCTTTGGTTGAAGCAACATGTCCAGCAATACCTTTTCCAAATGGTATAATAATTTGTTGATCTTCTTTATGAAGTGATTGTTCAAGTGTTGATCCAGCTGTAACATCAAATAATTTTGAAACAAGATATCGAGCATCTTTTGGACCACGCGCTAAAAATAAACTTCCACGATCAGAATTAGTTAATATTGAAACATTTGTTAAAATTTTATGACAAACAATATCAACATTTAATTCATTTGCAATATCACGTATAAGTTCAAAAAAAAGTTCATTTTCATTTAAATGCATATAGTCAACTAATTGAGAATTTGTTGATGATACTGTACGATTTGAATTGTGTCCTTGAATAATATTATTAAACATTTCATGTGTAACCGATGCACGTGGTTTTGCTAAAAATTCATTTTGTTCTTTTAATCGAATACAATCATTTAATAAATCATTTGTTGCATTATCTTTAAACCATCGTTTAACAAAATTTGGTTTACGAGCTAAATATCGTGCAACCATATCTTCTGTTAAGACTTGTGTAGGAATTTCAGATGAATCATTGGTTGGTCTATACATCTTTCGTTGAGACTAGAAAAAAAGCAGTAAAAAAAGAGTTTGTTTAGATTGTATTAAAAGGAAATCGACTATGCCGGATAATAATAATAACATATGGATAAACTTATACTATGAGATTACGACTAATAATCAATGGCAAAATAAAAAACAAAGAAAATATATAAGAATAATTTTTTACTATGAGAATATGACAAGAGTTTCTTTACTGATTCTAAAAATTCATTTAAAGTTGCACTAAGGTGAAAAAGAAAAAAAAAAAAGGATAAGACATAAAACAGAGAGAAATGCGGAAGAAATGACATCAACATTTCCTGTTGCCTTCATGTTTTTTTTTATATGGAACCTCATCTGTAAAAGTACTCTGGCTGTCATTTTTTTCTATAAAGAACAATGTATCAGATATTGTATTAATAAAAATTATTTAAAATTAATAATATTAAAAGGAATTCAATTGGGATCATAAAAAAAAGTTTAACCTTTCATCTTTCCGTAGGGAATTATATTAATTAATTTACTATTTGAAATAGAATTCTGACTAATTAATGTACATTATATTTTTGAATTATCTTTTTCAAATATTAAAGGAAAAAAAAATGATCGATGGAATTGTAAATTCAATTGATTCCAAAAAGGCATACTTACTTCATCTATTTTTGATCGATTTTTTTGCATTTTTCTTCGACTGTCTACAGAAATATAAAAAAGAAACTAGTGGTATGGTGTTTTTATTTTTTCTGATCTAATTCCCAGTCATCGTCTATTCCTGTTTTCATCGATTTGTTAATGCAAAAAAAAAATGAAAGAAAGTAATTCAATTTATAGAGCATCGAACTAACGTGCTACCCTATTAATAAATGTGGATACTCATTGAATCGAATGCTATTGTCAAATGAAGAAACATGTGAAAAATAATACTCCCTAACAGTTCAAATAGGATAATAATGACAAGACGGTTATTTTCAATCTTAAAATTGCATTAACAATGATGAAAATGGAAGAACTATCCTCTTATATTTTATCCTTCTATCTTGCTCCTATCTATACAAACAATTATTTCAATTGTGCTACTTAATCACTTGTAATATTTTTTTCTTTTATGTTCACCTTTCCCATTTTAACATCCATTGAAAGTTTGTTTTGATGCAACCAATGATGTTTTATGATAATGCTGCACTAAAGTTGATGTTGTTAAAAGCAATGATACACACAGGTGAAGATGATTATGATGATGCTCGTGTTCTTCGGTCGAAACATAACATTGGTCGAAGAAAAAATGCTTCTCTTTTCTAGAACGCCCACATCGGAAAAGAAACGAGAGATAGAAATATTGTTTCCTTCACTATTCTTCGGTATGTGTGTGTGTGTGCTTAGATGATATATTTTGCACTTCAAACTTTATATTCTCCTTCTTCTTCTTCTTCTTCTTCTTCGTCTTGTTATTACAACAACTGAAATCTGTTGTCGTCGTTTTGAGTGACGTCAGTCTGCGGTGTGATAAGCAACTAACTCATCGAGATATACGCTTGAACACACGCATGCATCTCTATTTCTCTTTATGCTTATCACGCATTGACATGAATAAAATTTGTTGCTCGTGTTATTTGTCTCCTAGTCCAATCTACATAGAGATAAAAAAAAAAGAAAACGGAAATTGCAACACTTCATAAAAATAAAATATCGTCCTTGATATCACTCTTCGTTTCCTTAAAGATAAAAGATTAATGATTATTACTCTCAGTTGCCATCAAACTATTTAAAATTGATACTAAATCTGGATAAATAAATTTATCATTTTATTATAAAATTAAATAAATCTTAGAACACAAAAAAAAAACATAAGAAAATATTATGCAAATATGACTATGCAAATAAAATGATATAATATTTTTTTCTACGAATGTCCTCATACCCTTCTCAAAATAGCATCCATTTTGTATAATCGACATTACTTAATGATAATTCATTTCCGATAAAACATTATTTTCTTTTTTTTTTTTATCTAGAAACATGAAAGGTTTTACGTCAAAAAATAAAATCGTTTTGTTTTTCTTTCTAGTTCGTTAAACATAAATCTTTTCTATTTTCAACATGCAACTGCTTTGAAGATTTACATTTTTTTTTTTTGTTTCAAGACTTTTATCAAACCTAGATATTCATTTTGTCGCTCAATGGAAAATGTTATCAGTAAGTCGAGTATGTAGTTGATAGTCAAAACTAATCTATTGAAACTATAACTCTTATTTAGTAGAATTAAGATGTGCAAGTCTATCAATGGATATATCAAATAGTTTCAAGAAAATTTTGATAGTTTGTCGATTTATTTAAAAAATGTCTAACATGTGACTTAATTAAATTTTTTAAGTGTAGTACACGTTGACATCAAAGTGATTAACTGAATCCTACAAAAAAGCTTCATGAAACCTATGTTTATAAATAAATAATTGTTGTTCTAATTATATACTTTTTTTTTATCAAGAGATTGATTGATAAAAAGCAACAAGTTCATAATTAAACAACACAGATAACTGACTTGATAAGAAATAAAAAAAAAAAAGCCATTTTGAATTAATTTTTTACATAATACAAATTGATTAATAATGACATTCTAATGTTAAGATTGTAACGTAGAAAGACTTCCTGTATTCGAATCAAAAAATATTATCAATGAAAAAACAATTTAGATTATTTGTTATCTTATAGACAATCATTGCACTATTGTATGAGAAGATAGATTATTCGTGTTTCATATATAACATGTTAAGGAATTGATATAAAATATAATGATATTATTTTCATGAATAATTTATTTAATTAACAAAAAAAGAGGAACAAAGAGTCCTTGATAACTGTAAAAATAAAATATACACCATTTTATATCATTTAAAACTGTGTCTTTTTTCATTTATTTGTTGTGATACAACAAATAAATAAACAGTTCTTGTTTTACGCATAAGATCCATTAAATATTGTATTAAACGTTCTTTTTGTCCAATCTGTATTGGTTTCCGAAGTGTTGAATCAAGATTATAATAAATTCCATTATGATTTTTAATTGTAAACCAATGAGCACCATTTAAGTTAACTAATAAACCAAAATATGAATCCCATGGAAGATGATAAATTGATTCACCATGATAAATATTTATTTGTCGCACGTCAAAACCACATCGATTAATAGCTTCAATTAATATTCTTAGATCATAATTTCCTAACCATAATGTTCGATAATCATTAAAAAATTTTCTTTTATCATATTCACGTACAATACTTTCTAAATTATGAGGAGTAAATAATTTTGGAATTTGAAAAAGATTATTTAATGAATGAAGACCACATCTCATTAAACGTTGTTTTTCATGATAAATAGGCTACAGAAAAAAAAAACAATATATATTTATTGTTTAGTTTTAATATACTTTTTACTGTATTATCGATAGCTTTTGTTGATTTCTGCTGTCGTTGTTGTTGCTGTTGCTGTTGTTGTTGTTGTTGTTGTTGTTGCTGCTGCTGCTGCTGCTGCTGCTGTTGTCTTGCCCATTCATCAGTATCGCCATATAATTGCAATAATTGAGCATAATGACGATCACTATCTTCATCATGTTGTTCTGGAAAATCATCATGCGAATAAAATCTACCCAAACCTTGATACAAAATATCATTTTATAAACAGAAATATTATTGTCTTTCTATTGTCTCACTTGGATTTTGATTGGAATTTTGTTTTAATTCTATTCCATCATAATAATCAGTGATAATATCCTATCAACAAGAAAAATAATTTAAATAGAAAAAAGATATTATTGTAATTTACGCCAAGTTTCCAATCGTATTGATCAAGAAAATGAATAGCATCGTCAATATTTAATGCTGTTATTGCCTAATAAAATATAAAAAACACTAAAATTCAAACCAAAAAATAATTCACTTGAAATTCATTGAGAATATGTTCGCGTGTTCGACCTTGTGGTACAAATGGCAATGAAGTTGCCATTTTGTTTTGTAATGTGCGTTTGTGTCTACAAAAAAAAAAAAACAACTTCTATTGGAGCAAGTAATAGAAGAACTATAAGACGAAGAATAAAGTAAAAGAAGAAGCCATGACTCATTGTTTTTTTCTTTTGTCTTCTCCGTTTTATATTTATGACCTGATTACATTTTATCATTATTTAGTGATATATGTTTCAGATAACAAAAGTGGCACATTTAATCAATATGGACTTCATAAAAGCAATCGAATTTTTCTTATTAAATCTTGTCGGTTCTATTTATTTAATTATGAAACTGAAAGCACACATAAAATAGTATATTTTAAGAAAATCCGAATTGCACTTATATTAAACTAATATGCATCTTGGCATGCTTATTTTTGATGATTGTATTTGACTTGTACGGCTTTTTATAATATTGATTCAAGAGCTTAAATCAATACGTCAACAGTCCTCGAATATTTGTCAGAATGCATAGATAATAGCTAATATAGTCAATAGTTTTTCAAGTAAAATTCTAATTTAAACATATGACAAAATGAAAGTGTATTAATTCAGAATTCTGTGTATCTGCAATGTCTACTACATTTATTAACTATTCTAAAGACCTCGTCATATAGTGACTGACTTTGTCAATAATATATAACAAATTCATTTTATTATTTCAAAGCACTAGCAATAATTGATAATGTCATGTTAAGCACAACATAAAAGAAAAGCAGATGTTTCCTTTCTAGAAAATGTACGATCATAGATATTGAAAAGTTATTTCTTTTTTATTTGTAAGAGTAAAATTTAATAGCTGTCAGTCAAAAGTAAAAACTAGATTTCTTTTCTGCTTTGTTAAGTTTCTAACATATTTTATGAAAAATCTATAATTTAGGATTTATATTAAACATTTATTCACAAAAACGCTTATTATTGTGAAAATAATTAATGAATACTAATGATATTTCCAGACAATTTATTCTTTTAGAGGAAGAAGAAAGAACAATAGACTCTACTTTTTATGTATTCAGATCGAGACTTTATTTCTAGAATATATTCAAATGATAAACACTAATGAGGCTTATTTTCAATACCCTACTCATCCATCAAACAGCTAAAATTAGAACAAACGTGTTTGGTTGTTGCTAAGGATAGCCTACCTCTTTTAATTTACTATTCTCTCTCATCCGTTCACTGGTCGTACATATATATGAGAAGTGAACGAATAGCAGAGAATAGTAGATCAGTGGAAGTAGACCGTCTTCAACAATAAATGAACACACATTTGTCGTTATTTTATCTATCTGATGGCTGAGAAGCAAATAGAGAATAAGACTCATTCATTATGCCTTTCGCATATTCTGTCTTCATCGTATTTTATTTAGCGATAAACTACTGAGTAAATATTCCATGCAGAGTATTTGGTACACTAAGAAATTCTCTATTATTTAAAATTAAATCGAAGTCTATTGATTTCAATGATTTATTATCATTTTTAGGGTCTATAGATTTTGATTCCATTTCGACTACCAAATAGATATATTTCTGATATTGTCACACAGAATCAAACATCTGCTAATGATGAAGACAATCGTTCTCGTACAAGTTTTAGTATTCTATGTTGAGATAGGGCATATTTTGCTTTGTTTTTCTTTCTTAGAGTTGGGAAAAATCGAGAGTTGAATATCAACTGGAAACGCAATTTGATGAACGAATATCATACATGATTTCATCATTAACATTATGAATGTTTCAGGAAAAGAGCAAATCATATACATATAAATTGAAATTAATTTCTTGAGAATGTTCTTCAGAGGATAAACGCTTTCTATGACATTCAGGTGAGCAATAGCAATAACTTGAAGAAGTTTAATATGTTCTTTCAAAGAAAATGGAAAACATACACTTGTAATGATGAACAATAATAACAACAGAAAAGGCAGTGGTTGATCAGTATCAAAGCAAGAATAATCAGGAGAATAGCTATCTAAAGTCAAAGGATAATTCAGACAGATAATACACATATATAGTTGTATTTTTTCATTTAAGCTATGGGAATTACGTGATGATGCTAGAATCAAATCCATAACACCATCATCTGTTGATTCTCGAAGAAGAATAAAAGAGAAGATCAAAGTAAAACATATTATCATATTTGATGACGCTTCAAATGAAATATTACATAGGGTACTCACATAAACTATCGTGATGGATACTTGAAGATATTCGTCAAAAATTTGCATAAGAAAAAAACATCATCAACAACAAATTGCATAAATCTGCATTATAAAAATACAAAGCCATTATATGCAAAATATTGTTCTTAATCTTAATTATCTTCAAGAGAAAAAAATCTAAGTTGTGATTCATTCACCATGCACTCTTGACTTTGCTCTTTCAGACTTTTAGTCGTTTAGTTATCTAAAAAGTAGCCTTAATATATATGCACATGCTACAAGTTTAACTAAAGCAATAAGCAGAGAGCCTAGTTCATACCTATTCACGAATATCAAAAGACCTTTTAGAAATGTATTGACAGGACGAAATTTTGTACGAAATATCATGAGAATTAATTCGAACATTTGCTGTAAACAGATTAGCAAAATATTTTTTCTATCAATAAATATTCTAAAGTGACAGAACTTTTCGACTATCCGATGTACAAATATTGTTTACTAATATTTAGTTAATAGATAGAGTAGAAAATCTTCTATCTGAAAATTGACTATATGAAATAAACTTATAATCTCTATGTAATTCAACTATACTTATTCAACGATAATAATAATTTATAATGCATAATGTTAAAAGAATCGATAAGTGTTAATAATTGAATTTAATATGTCTAATCCGTGACAATGGAATAAGCATAGCTCAAATTTAATTTAGTAAACTTTTATTTGTTGTTAAACATCAAGAAAAACATTTTTTCTTCATAAAGATTTTCTTTATAACGAAAAAATGACAAAATCTTGCAAAGGCAAACTTGTGATTCGTATAACAAGTTTACTTAAAATAGATTAATCTACCTCTATCATTGTGATCTGACTAACAAGAAAACCTCTTCAGGTGTCTAATTGCTTTTCGATCCAGATGATGTTTATTTCATGAGTGCTTGAGAGTAATAGAAAAGTTTAGAATGGTTTGGTTTTCCGAGCCTTCGTTATTGAGATGTAAAATTTTACGGAGTTTTTCAGCAAGTTACTGTGGTTCTGTCAAAAAATACACTTTCGAGTTTCGTATTCAAAGTTTGCAAGATCAAAGTTCTTCAAGAGACTAGTATTTGATGATGCAAATTTTTGCTTTTCTAGTATTTCCTTTCTGGAGATGAACAAAATTTGCTTTCATACATGAGAAAGTTTCAAATATTCAATATCTTAGGATAAGAGATATTATGTAGAAAAGTTATAACTTGTTCATGCAAAGTTACAACTCGAAACTCAAGAGTCATTTTTCTACGTAGTCTGAAACACATGATAGATTTTTGTTGAAAAACTCACTAAAATTTCGATATCTCAAGAATGAAGACCCCGAAAACCAAACTATTCTTGACTTTTCTATTACTCACTAGTACTCATTAAATGAACATTGTCTTAGTCAAAAAACAATTTGACATCTGGAGAACTTCTCTTGCAAGATTTATAAACAAAACAACTTCAACAGTAAATATTTTCATCTTATTTACCTTGAATTACTCAGTAAGTTTCGTCTAAATAAAAAATATATTGATAAATTTCATTAAAAATCTTCTTTTTTCTATTTAAAAATATATTCAATATGTATGTTGTCTCTTTCATTGATCTTGGATATAATGAAATATCTTGTTGAGCTATTATGACTGTCATAGAAAATATCAGCAGCAGAATGATAAATTTTCGTTCCATGTAACATCTCCAATATGAAACAAACATATGGATAACCATAGGATAAAAAGAACATATTTTGGTTCTTACTGTTGACATTCATGTCAAATATATAGACGATGATATTATAGTAGTTTGAATAATTGCTGTTTTGAGGACAATCACAAATGAATATGTAGTAACAACTTTGATCATTGTTGCAGTAGAAGAAAAAGTTTCAACTAAAAATTGGATAATATAGAATGGTGACTCATACGAAATGAATACGGTGTGAATTCTGACAAGTATGCCTATAGATATATGATATAATCGTAGTTATTGAAGGATTATCAAGAGTATCATCTTGGTACAATCTTAAATTAATTATGCGTTGTCAAAGTTAGACATTCGGTTGACGGTTATCAGAAGGACTTGCAAATTTAATAATAAAAAAACACAATCTATTTAGCTCCATTAACAATATCTGAATGTTCTTCAATAGTAATATGCAATGTCGACAAATAGTCATTACTGTAAGTATTAACGAGGGTACTGAAACATATCAACCTGTAGTAGTACAGTTGAGATATTTTTCATTCTGAGCTCGATCGACCATACAAAGTTTTAGTTGTCGGTTGATAATGTACGCATGATTACCATATATATTGTCGGATAAATAAAAAAGGTGCTTTTGATTTAATACGATTAAAACGGACGATCCGATAGTATTGATAACTTTATAAATGAAAGTTTCATTCCTCAAATGAGAAAATTGACATAACAATAGTGTGAAAATGAACAGTCGAATTGATAGTATCAATATTAATAAAGGAGGGGTAGCTCAGAAGTCTTGACTCGTTGTATATAATCAATGTTCTCGTAAAACTATCTTTATAGCAGAAAAGTACAATGAAACATGTTTTTGCAAAATGGCGACAAACGAAGCCCACTAGCTCATTGAATAAGAAAATTATACGGCTAGAAACGTCTTTCATATTTACAGGTCAATTAATCATTAATATTTGAAAGATTAATAATAAAATAGTAACTTAAGCGGAATTCAAGCAATTAAGTCACATTTTGAAATGACTTTACAATTATTTAATAACTAAATGAATATCTAACGAATTAACTTGATATGACTGATTTCATGTACTCTTTCAATCTTTAAAAGA